AGTCAAATAAAGAACTTCACAGATAAGGAAAAGCTAAAGGAGTTCATCATCACCAAACCAGTATTATATGAAATGCTGAAGGGTATTCTTTAAGAAGAGGAGGAAGAAGAAAAAGGTAAAGATAAAAATTATGAACAACAAATACATATCTATCAACAAGTGAATCTAAAAATCAAGTGAATAAAAAATCTGATGAACAGAATAAACTGGTGAATACAATAGATTCAGGGACATAGAAAGGGAGTGGACTGACAATTCTCTGGGCGGGGGGAAAGGCGTGTGGGGGGCACGGGAAGAGACTGGACAAAAATCATACACCTATGGATGAGGACATTGAGGAGGGGGGCGGGGAAGGGCAGAGAGTGGGGTGGGAACCGGGTGGAGGGGAGGTATGGGGGGGGAAAAAACTAATAATCTGAACAATAAAGATTTTTTTAAAAGTTAAAACATTAAAAATAAACTGCAAAGAACATTCTAGTCATAATTTTATAATTAAGTGAAACTTAATTGAGAACCTCTAGTGATTCTAGAATATTAGAATTTTTCTGTGAACACACCAAGTTAGTTTCTTGGATTGTGGTAAAGAATTAGTGAAAGTTAAGGAACTGATTCCCACATAAACATAGGTTGCAGAGGAACATTCCAGAGAAGACACCAAAAGCATATTTTCAGCCTTGATTCTTATTTACAAGTGCTTATTATTGCTCACAGTGAAGGTATAGCATGGATCAAACTCCACTATTGTTCATAAAGTAATTCAAAGCACAGTAACCACTAAAAATAGGTTGATACAGTCATCTGAATTTTACATCACAGCCCTCTCCACTCTATCATAGTTCTCTCTTCCCTTTATTTTTATTTTTATTTTTATTTTTTATTTTGTAACAGTGAGGCCACTAGGTGTCAGTAACAATCCAACATCACTGTGCCACTTGCCAACTCTGGCCTTGTCACCTAATTTTTGTGCCTGACTTTCCTGATTCATTATCTTTGCATCTTACTTCCCAAGTCTTTGTAAGGAGAGTATGTTGTTGGAAATACTTTTGTGCCCTTGCATTGCCATATTTTTTTATGTAACTGTTACAACAGTTTTCAGCAAGGTTAGCTAGTTGTCCCAATTTTATGTAGGCATCATGGAATAGGAGTTAAAAAGCAGTTGGGCTTTTGAGTATAGAGATTCATTCCACTACTTGTTATTAACTAACATCTCTTTTGAACATAATTGTCTTCATCTGTAAAATTGAAAAAATAAATGTAAAAATTGTGGTACAGATTTAATGAAACACTGTATGTGTTAAAATCACTGCCATTAGAAAACACTCAGTAAATGTTAAAAGTACCCTTTTACCTAAATGCTCTATTTAATAACGAAGGAAACTTTGTACGTAGATTAAAAAGTATGTTGGTTTGGTTTTGAATAGATCTTCTGTTCATATTTCTTATGTAATAGCAAATAGTTTGCAATTTGATGCTCCTATCTCTCTGGATTCAAAAAAAGGCAAAAACCTATTTTATAAAATAGCTAACAGCATACAAGAGACTTGTCTGTGCCTTTAACTAACTTATTAGCCAAAAGTTTTCATGGAAATCTATCTGTGAAAGATATTCTGAGTTTATCTCTTCATTTTACTTCCAAAAGTCTGAAATTTCCTAGCATTATAAACAAGAAGGCCCTTGGACCAATTTCTTTCCTTTTTCTTTCTTTTTTTTTTAATTGACTTTTCTATTTATTTTGTTGCTTTGTTTTTATTTCTTTATTGTTGAAAATATTACATATGTCTTCTTTTCCCCCATTGACCTCTCCCAGCCCGCTCCTGCCCCCCAGCACAGACCCTCACCCCCCTACTGCCTGTGTCCATGGAATATGCTCATATGCATGCATACAAGTCCTTTGGTTGCTTTCTTATCCCTCCTCCTCCCCCACCTTCCCTCTGAGGTTGGATGGTCTGTTCGATGCTTCTATATCTCCGGATCTATTTTTCATCAGTTTATGTTGTTCATTATATTCCACAAATGAGTAAGATTATGTGATATTTATCTTTCTCTGACTGGCTTATTTTGCTTAGCATAGTTTTTATTATTTAGAGTTCAAGGCTGAAATTTTAGAGATAGAATATTAAATGAGACATTTTGTGCCATGATTCCATTCTTTTTCAGGAGGATCCACAATGATTTCCTATGTATTGCAGCCCAAAGACAAGAATCCCTGAGTAGATTATGAAGTATTTTTTAAAAAACAACAGAGAATATATAGAAACTATTGCAGAGATATAAGTTGTTTTCTAGCTCTGAAACTTTGAAGTGAGATATTTATAAAAAGAAATTCTCCCATGTGACTAAGGAATCTTACTCATTTTATTACTTTACTAGAGGCCAGTGCCTGCACCCTCTCAATCTGGGATCCCTCTCACAATCTTGGACTGCTGGCTCCTAACCACTGGCCTGCCTGCCTAATTGCCCCTAAAGGCTTCTGCCTGCTGGCCTGATCACCCCCTAACCATTCCCCTGCAGGCCTGATTGACGCCTAATTTTCCCCCTGCCTGCCCGATCACCCCCAGCTACCCTCCCCTGCCGTCACAATGGCCCCCAACTGCCCTCCCCTGTCGGCCAGATTGCCCCCAACTGCCCTCCCCGGCCGGCCATCTTGTGGTGGCCATCTTGTGGTGATGTAGGGTGGCCATCTTGTGAGGGTGTGAGGGCCACCTAGGCTTTTATTAGTAGCGCAGCTTTTTCTATGCTTTCAGGTTTTAATAAAACACATAAACTACTCATATGGTGTTCCAGTGACACTTAACTTTCATCTCCTCCTCCAATGTCACTAACAGTTAAGGGACTTTTGTTTAAAGACATTAACCCACAAGGGCAAAAGGAATGGGAATGACAGAAATGGCAACCAAAATAGAACAAAAAACAATGGCACCCAGATTTTGGAAGCTGGATATCTGGTGAATGTTGATCTGATCTGATCTGATAAATAATGAATGACCTAACAGACTTAAAGACCTTTTCTCTAAAGAGAGAAAGCTGAATTCTAAGCCAGCACTGAGGAAAGCTGGAAGGCTAATTTACATTGCAGATCTCCACAAAGGCTCGATATTGGTAGAAATTGGAAATTAGAGGGGTAGGGCTGAAAAGAGATCACACAGTCTTACATCCGTATCCCAAAAGAAGGTTGAAGGTTCATTCTCTGCAGAGCATCAAACAGTGTGTCTCTGGACTGGAGAACAGCAAGCACAACCGTGCGTGGTAGTGCTGAACTGAAAATGAGGAGTAACTGAAAGTTTTCATACCAAATATTATAACCCTCTTCTACCTTCTGTTTCTCCCAGAAGACACTGGTAGTAGGCAGGAGATACAAAGTCATCTTTGAGGAATCAGACCAGCCTAAGAGAAAAGTGCTAGTGGTATTAACATCAGAGATTCCCAAGGAAATGGCTTAGCTAGATACTCTAGAATGAAGACCACATTTGTCAAGCCTAACATGCGTACCACAATTCCAGTTCAGCTTTACAGTGTTCGTTAACATGTATGAGAAGATGGCAAAGGATCACCAGGCATTTGAGAACCAAAACATTATGAATTAAGGGACATAAACAGGAAAAATAGGTTAGAGAAAGTGGAATTTATTTAGGGGGACATTTCAAAAACCTAGTAGAGTATGCATTAGCTAGTTTTGCTCAGTGGTTAGAGCATTGGCCCGTGGACTGGCTGCGTGTTCGATGCCAGTTAAGGACATGTACCTCGGTTGTAGGCTCGATCCAGACCCCAGTCAGGGTGCATGTGGAAGGCAACCAATCGATGTGTCTCTTTCACATTGATGTTTCTGTCTCCCAGTCCTCCCACTCTCCGAAAAATCAATGGGAAAAATATCCTCAGGTGAGCATTAACAAAAAACAAAACAGAACTTGTAGCGTATCAAGAAGAAGGAACCTAAAAATGAGCTTTTAGGAAATAATAGGATAGTAGAAATTGAAACCCCAATTAAAAGAAGATAAAATAGAGGCACTCTCTCAGAAAGTAGAGCAAACAGAAAGAATAGAAAATTGGAAAGAAAAAATAAGAAAGTAAGGGGCCGTGTTTAGGAGGCTTAATATCCAAATAATGGGAATTTCAGGAAAAGAGAACAAAATAGAGGGGAGAAAAATCAGCAAACAGTATTTTCAAGAACTAAGTATGAGTATTTAGTTAAAAGTCCTTTTGAAAGCTCAGTGTAGTGGATGAAAATATCCTCACACCATGGCACATCATTAATAACAGTCCACACTGAAGGCAATGGGGGAGTCTGCAAACTTCAGGAGGAGAAAAGGAGGTTTCGTGAGAGGATAAGGATACACAATAGCATCAAACTTTTTCAGTAGCAACCCTCGGAAGCTGTCACACATTGGGCAGTGCCTGGAACAGTCAAAGGAGAAAGTGGGAATGTTCTCAGGCTGATCAGTGTGTTGTGACCGTAGAATTAAAACATCTTCAGCCATGCAGTCTTAAGAATTTACTTTCTGTACCTTTCACTAACGTAGCCACTGAGAGGAGTACTCCTCAAAAACAAGGGAGTAAGCCAAGGGAAAAAGGGCGGGGGTTGGGGGGGTGTCCTGAAAGTGGAAATTAAGCACAAGAGGAGGTGGGGGAGGAATCCCCTGGAGGATAGTGGAGATCCTAGAGTGATAGTGAAAGATCTCTTGTGAAAATAACTGGGCAAGCAGAGGAAACTGGTCCAGATTAGAGAGTTTGGGAAGGCTGTAGTGAAATTGATGGACTCTGTACTGTGCTTCATAATAATAAGGATGTAAACAGTGTAGAGTAATGGGATTGAAGTGCTATTAGGTACATAAAAAAGCAGAGAGGCAGAGTTGGAGATAAGGAACAATTATTAACTCCAGGGAAAACAAAATGTAGTTGAAGACAGGAAAACTAACCAAGGTATGCTACCAGTCTCAGCTGTGACCAGCACTTACAGACTCATTATATTGATGATGACGACATTACTTGGTTAGGAGGATGGGAGTATTGAAAGCATTATGTGGGTTGCAGATAGCAGCACAGAGATACTTAACCCTTTGAGTGCCAACCAATATCCTAGGAACTATGCTAAAATTGCCAAGGCATTTTTGCTTAAGAACCAAGGCCTCATATTAAATGGAAGAAACTGGTATTTCAACAAGTAATACAAATATTATTTAGAGAGAAAGAGGTAATGATCTAAAAGGGAGTTGGAAGTAGTTGCCTATGAAAGGGACAGAGATGAGGCAAGGGACTGCTAATTTTTATACATCATATAGAACTAGTTAACTGGCTCTATGCATATACAACTGTGACAAACATAAAAACTATAGTATGATTTGTGCTTTTTTTTAAACTATGTACATATATTTCTACTGTGTTATAGATTTGTCTCAGGTTACGTTAAATAGATTATATCCTGTAGAGACCGATAATGTCTTTCTGTTTTTGTTATCAGATCAGATCCAAGCTGTGAAGACATGAAAAGATAGTAGTTGGAAACCTCAACAATTGTCAATTCAAGGAATATATCTTAAGGCAAACTGAATACATTAATATTTTTAAAGATGTTGGTGCATCTAAGAATACTTTATAATCTGCTTGCATTTATGCACTCTGAATAAAGTTTATAAGAATATAAGACTTCATGTATGCTAATCTGGCCATTAATTATATGAAAATAAATCCTCAGAAAGGATCCCCAGAATATCAACCTCTTGGTAAAGATCTACACTTATTCGTAATGAGAATGTTAAAATCCATCTCAATATCTCATCGTGAATTATGATATCGTTAATGTATTTTTTAATTGTCTTCAAAAAAGCTTATAGTATGACTATGATGGGATTGTGCTTGTGAAAAAGAACTTTAAATATTTATAAGGGACCATGGGTGATAAATGTATATTAGATTTTTACTATATGTCACCATCAATAAAACATAATATGTAATGTACCAACTAGTGTGCTTTGTTTATGCTGAAATAATGCTGTGTTAATATGGTATTTGGTATTTTACTGTCAAATATTTGTCAACCTGAGACCAAGTTATGCTGAAGTTATTTATCCAGTGAGTAAGTATTGGATAGCTCTACACCTGTAGTAGTCTGACACCATCCTACACAATCATGATAGAAGGTAAATTAAACATATTCCTTATCCTCAGACAACTTAAAATTTAATGAGGCAGAATTTTAGAATTTTTTAATATATCATATATAATTTTTTATCTCATTGCTGAATGAAAATATTTTATCCTAAGATTGAGTCATTAAAGTTAATGTGTGAATCTTCAATAATTATAACTGACTTTCTTTAAAATTCCTCCAGTTTACTATAGCACTTTGTTGAAATAGATTGTGACTGACCAAACTGTTTTGTTTTTTTTCTGAACAAAAACTGCTACATAAATGTTCTTTAGAATTTTAGACATATCTCAGGTATCCACAGTATGCAAATTGTATTATTCTCAAAACTTAGAGACCACTTAGACTTATGACTCTAAATAGAAGCTTTGGTTCTAAATTAATCACTGGGAAACTGTAGAAAGCCGCGGTGTCAATTCTGGAAAATATTGCATATAAAGAAAAACTGGAATGTTTGATGTGTAACATCTTAAACATACTTAGCTGTGGAAATGATAAAAAACAGAGGCAAAAGGTGAGCATTAAAGATGTGACATAATAACCGGTAGTGGTATGTTCAGAAATTTGAATAAAATAATTTTAAAACTACAGTAAAAGTTCTGTATTATACTTTCTCACAGTCCTGAAATCCCAGTGACTTGGACTTTGTCGAGTTCAAAGTTATCCAGGGTATTCTACTGGTTCTGCATTTTCAGCTAGCTTGCCAGCCTTTCATAAACTGTTTTGATGAGGATAAAAAGTGAGACTCATTGATTGAGTGGACTCACATATAAAAAGGACATTATGAAAACACTGAATGTGATTTAACAAAAAAACTAGTATTCTGTAACTATTTTAGGAGGATGCAGTACAGTAACAACACTAATAGTTATTACTCTGTGATCACTACATTTTGAGCAGAATATCTCACACATGATTTTGTATCACTTAATTCTCAAAGTAGCCTCATGTGATAGGTTCTGTTATTTGTTTTATAGGTAGGAAAACTGAAGCCTAAAGAAGTTAAGTCACTTGGTGAAGGTCACAGAGCTAGTAAATGGTGATGCTGGGAATCAGAACCATTCTGTTTAAAGTAGATGATTCAAGAAACAAGAATATTACAGATACTAGAAATATAGAGGTGTCTGTCATAAAACTAGTTAAAAGTACTGAAAAAGTTCTCACTGTGGAAGGAGACCAGGATGGGGATGGGAGGTGGTCAGAAATAAGGGACTCGTTTTTTGTTTTTTTTTCTTTTTGCTTGTTTTAAGTCTACTAACACTTCAGATTTTAAATTGTGGGCATAAATGACTGATAAAAATAATTCTTAGGTTGATAATTAATTGCTATCCCACAGACTAACTCGTACCTATGCAAATATTTAGACAAAAGGGAATATTTTTCCTTTGATTTCATGTTCTCCAAATATAAATATCAATTCTTACTCTAAACTTTTAAGTCAAGATTATGTAGAAGCAAGTTGGGCAACAATAGCCACACGATGCCATGTAAATGTGTACTAGTGTAAGTTGAGGTTATTGGGTTTGTATTTAACATGCAATTAAAATTTACTGCATTCTAAAGCTCAAGCAGGTGCTTTTTCATGTTTAGGCATCACTGTAACAAATTTTCCTTTATAAGCTCTCCAATTCAATATAACACCTCATAAAGTGTTCAAAACATCCTGTTATATTTTTGCATTTAAATATTTATATATGGCCCTATTCAGCTTGTGCTTTGTAAATCATGAAAGGGCTGAGTTTTATATATTTGTTTTTCATTTATAGGTTGCCAGCTAAAAGTTAGGAATTGTCTCCTGATTCCTCAAGTCATTTTTTTCCTTTGGAATTTTTGGCACACCACATTGTTATTTACTCTTGCAAATAGCTATGACAGATACATTCTGCATGTAACTCTCATTATTTAAAATACTGTAGTATTTTAACTGACTTGGTACATATTTTCTGCTTTCTGATTATTCCCTCTTCTCAGTTGAAAAAATAAAAATGATATTAAAATTTCACTTAAATGGATGTTAAAATAGGTTTTTATTTCTGTGCCTGAAAAAAAAAAATACTATAATGATTGGAAAATGGTTATTGTACTTATTCTGTCTGGGAGAAAGCTGCCCCTCCTGCTCTCGCCCTGATGCCAGATAATTCAGTTCCTCCCCATATGTCCTCGGTGCCTTTCAAGCTGCTGTCCAAGCACTGGAGCTCAGAGTGAGTGAGTCAAAGTAAGTTTGTGCTTAGGCCCTTTAATAGGAACTTCCTGGGACTCCATGAGCCTCTGTCTCCCTCAGCCTCAATGCCCACTGGTGTTCATAGCCAAAAATTATGGGGGCTCCTCTTCCTGGCACTGAAACTCTGGACTTGGGGCCTGGTGTAGGGCTGGGACCCCTTCACTTCTCAGGAGGAATCTTCACAGCTGAGATAACCCTCCTTTATCCACCACGTGTGGGTGGGGGACAAGACTATTTCAGGTTCCATCCCTCCTACTGTCTCAATGCGGCTTTTTTAACTCCCTTGTTGTGGGGCTTCATTCAGCTAGTTTCAGGAGTTTCTGAATGATGGTTCTGTACATTAGCTGTAATTTTAATGCGGTTGTAGGAGGATGCAAGTATCACATTTACCTATGCTGCCATCTTGACCAGGAGTCTAAAGCAGGGATTCTCAACCTGTGGGTCGCGACCCCTGAAAATACATCCTACGTATCAGATATTTACATTAAGATTCATAACAGTAGCAAAATTACAGTTATGAAGTAACAGCGAAAATAATTTTATGGTTGGGGGTCACCACAACATGAGAAACTATTAAAGGGTCGAGGCATTAGGAAGGTTGAGAACCACTAAAGCATTTTTTTAATATATTTTATTGATTTTTTTACAGAGAGGGAGGGAGAGGGATAGAGAGTCAGAAACATCGATGAGAGAGAAACATCGATCAGCTGCCTCCTGCACGCCCCCAGCTGGGGATGTGCCCACAACCAAGGTACACGCCCTTGACCAAAATCGAACCTGGGACCTTTCAGTCCGCAGGCCAACGCTCTATCCACTGAGCCAAACCAGCCAGGGCTACTGAAGCATTCTTTTAAAAAAAAGAAGGTAAAAAGGAGAAGCAATAGATACTATATGCAGCCCCAAAGCCTGGCGGTACCTACTGTCTGGTGCTTTACATAAAAACTTTGCCAACCAATATCATAGGTGATGAAACTGAGGCAAGAGAGGTTACACCTTGCCTACAGTCATAGTGCAAATAAAGAGAACCCCAGCTTTGAGTCTAGACAATCTGGCTACAGAATCTGTATTAACTTCTGAAGGCTTATCAAAAAGCTATAGACTCAAATGGCTGAAAAGTCATGCTTTTTTCCCCCCAATAAGATTGACATATTGGACTTCTAAAGTCTTTTTCCTTCCTCTTCTTTATTAATCCTCACCTGAGGCCTTTTTTTTCTTCACTGATTTTTGTGGGGGGGTTTTAGAGAATGAAAGGGAAGGGGAAGAGAGAGGGGGAGAAACAGCTAGAGAAACAGCTATGTGAGAGAGACACATCGATTGGTTGCCTCTTACACGTGTCCCCACCAGGGTCCGGGATCAAGCCTACAACCAAGGTACATGCCTTTGACCAGAATTGAACCCAAGGCCCCTCAATCCGCAGGCTGATGCTCTATCCACTGAGCCAAATTGGCAAGAGCTTTCCTTCCTCTTTAAATGAGTGGCAGCAGATGGCATAGATTCTGAAACAACAATTGTATTAATGTATTTAAGTGAATCACAGAAACATTATCCCTATGCATCTGGCTTAGACTTCAGCTTTCATGATTTTTACCAATATTTTGAGGTAAATGATAACTAGTGTTGATGGTCTTGAAATGTATATGGTAAAATATGGAAACATTTATCATTCAGGTTGTTCATGTGCATTTTTTTATTAAATCTTTATTGTTCAGATTATTACATTTGTTCCTCTTTTATCCCCTCATAACTCCCCTCCACCCAGTTCCCACCCCACCCCCCGCGCTCACTCCCCACCCACCGTCCTCCTTC